CCTGCCTCAGCCTCCCAGAGTGCTAGGATTACTGCGCGTACAACCACTGTTACCGCAGCCCAATTTTCTTTTTTTTTTTTTTTTTTTTTTTTGAAGACAGAGTCTCACTTTGTTGCCCAGGCTAGAGTGAGTGCCTGGCGTCAGCTTAGCTTCAAGCAACTCAAACTCGTGGCTCAAGCAATCCCTGCCAGCTCGGGCTGGGACAGGCGGCCAGCAGGCCCTGTGGCCTCTAATTTATATAGAGAACGGGTCCATTTTGCTCCAGGCTGGGTTTTGAAATCCTGAATCTGGAGCAATCCGGCCACTGGCCTCCAAGAGACTTGGGATTAAGGTGTGGAGCCCCGCGCCCCTGGCATTTCTTTCGGCAATATTACCAATTTTGTTTGTTTCTATTTTTTATATTATTATTTGAGACAAGTTCACTCTGTGGCCCAGGCTAAGTGCTGTTGCTTAGCCTAGCATTAGCAACCTTCATCCTGGGCTCAGTGATCTTCCTCCCAGTCTCCTTAAGTTACCTGGTACCTATGGCTACTTCTTGATTTACTCAGTTTTAGGCATTATCTGTCAGCAAAACATATGGAACATAAGAATTTAGCTCTTTGCTCTGTCTGACTCAGCCTCATAGACTCTTCCTATCCCCAAACTCCCATTGTCCCATGAGAGTTACACCATAATTTTTGTTGTATTGATATACAGCATTCACATATCAGTCACATATGAGCCATGTAGTAAACCATGATTACCTTTCCTTTTATGTACATTTTATTTTCCTTAAGTTGTTAACTGTTTGGGTTTTTGGTTTGCTAATTTTCTAGGCTCTTATTCACTCATTCAGCCATGAATTCTCCACTATTTCATTAGCTTCTCAAAATACTGAGACACATCAGATATACTCTCGATTTCAAATTCTTGCTGGTATCTCTCCTGAAGCCTTCTGTTCCCACCCAGCCTGGCTGGAGCCTTCTGCATCTGGAGCACAGCTGTCCTGAAATTTCCCCTTTGCACTATCCTGGGGATTCCCTTCACCCTTCTCTTGTGTTGGAGACTGTGTTTCTCTTTCATGGTTTAATCCCCTTTTTTGAGGTAGCATATCCTTTAGTAACTTCCTGAGAAAAGGTCATTAGACCAGAAAGTTTTTGAGAACTTACGTGTCTGAAAATGTCTTTATTCTGCCCTTGCACTTGACTGATAGTTTGGCTCAGTGCTGAATTCTGGGCTGGAAGTATTTTTCCTTCAGATCTTTGAAGCCCTTGCTCCATTGTCATCTAGCTTCCAGTATGGCCGTTACCAAGTTTGAAGCCACTCTGTCCTCACCCATTTTGAGAGATCTGTTTCTTTTCTTTGGGAGCTTGTAGAATCTTCTCTCTCTCTCTAGTATTCTGAAATTTCATGAGGGTGTGGGTCCATTTTTATCCATTTTACTGGGGAGTGAGTGGGCCTTTTGAATCTGAAAACTCTTGTCTGTCATTTCTGGGAAGTTTTCTGTAATTATTTTGTTGATGATTTCCTCCCCTCTATTTTTTCTGTTCTGTTTTTCTGAACTCTTATTATTCAGATATTGGATTTTCTGGGCTGCTTCTCTGATTTTCTTTGTTTGTGTGTGTGAAGAGCTATCACAGTATGCATGATTTTCTTTTGTCTTCCAACTCTTCTAGTGAGAATTTTATTTATGCTTTTATATTTTTATTTCCCAAGAGCTCTGTTTTGTTCTCTGCATGTTACTTCCTTTTTAAAATTTTTATTTACTTTTTTTTTTAGAGATGGGGGTCTTTCTATGTTGCCCAGGCTGGATTTGAACTCCAAGAGATCCTCCTGCCTCAGTCTTCAGGGTCAATGGGACTACAGGTGTGCACTGCCATACCTGGCTTGCATGTTACTTTCTTTATGGTATTCTTTTCCTGTTTCATATATAGAGTATTTTCTCTTTTTTTTTTAATTTTTATTTTTGAGACAGAATCTTGCTTTGTTGGCCAGGCTAGAGTGCCCTGGTGTCAGCCTAGCTCACAGCAACCTCAAACTCCTGGGCTCAAGCAATCCTCCTGCCTCAGCCACCCAAGTAGCTGGGACTACAGGCATGCGCCACCATGCCCGGCTAATTTTTTCTATATATATTACTTGGCCAATTAATATTTATATTAATTAATTAATATTTATATTTCTATTTATAGTAGAGAAGAGACGGGGTCTCGTTCTTACTCAGGCTGTTTGGAACTCCTGACCTCGAGCAATCTGCCCGCCTCGGCCTCCCAGAGTGCTAGGATTACAGGCGTGAGACACTGCGCCGGGCCAGTATTTCTTTTTATTTGAGAAAATTATTGATGGATATTACAAGTTTTATCCTTCCTTCACTTTCTCTATTTTTGTTTACTTGTTTCATCTTTATCACTCAGAGGCTTTCTTCAATATGCAACCCTTGGTGCCTGCTCATGTTTAAGAGTAGGGGTCTACAAAAGCCACTCTGTACCTCCGGGCATGTGGTTGGGGCTTGCCAACTGAAAAGTTTACATCAGGGTTATCTGGTTGGGAAGTTTGTAGGGGGAATCCTTGGTTTCAGATCCAACAGGTCTTTCCTTTTGGGCTAAACAGATTTTCCATGGAGATTTTTTCCAATATCCTCTCTGGACCATAAAGACTTGGTGGCCTATCTTTTGGGAAACATGGGGCTGGGGGGGTGTCTCAGTATTACATATTTCTTTAATTACCCTGATTTCTGTATAGTACCCATACCCTTGACCATGCCTGGTTTTCCCTACAGCAGAAACCCATTGTTTTATTCCTTTTTGAGCAAAAAACCTCTTGTTTATTTTTTCTGGGGCATGAAGTAGGGTAGGGTATATAAGGACCTATCTTTTTCTTAAACAGCTTTTAAACAGCCCTCATTTTTGTTCTCCTCCCTCTCTTTCACTTCCAGAACTACTAGATGCCACCACTCCTGAGCCCTCTGAGGCTTCTGTAGCATAGATCAGACTGATTCTCAACCCTGCCTGAGGCCAGCTTGGTTCTCAGCTCTGTTGATGTGCCAAGTCAGGTATCTCTGGTGCATCTGCTTTCTGCCTTCCAAAATGTTGTTACTGTGTTGTCTCTTCCTCTGAACTCCCCATCTTTGTGGGTTTAAGTCTTTTCAAAATTATCTGTAATGCCTTTTAAAAAAAATCCCTTTATTGAAGTTTTAGTAGTTTTTTTAGGAAGGAAACAGATATGTCTATTCATTTCACTATCTTTTACTGGAAGAATTTATTATTAGTTTTGAAAAGATAATACATGTGCTGGTTACAAATTTCTAAAGGTATAAAAACAGGTGCACAATGAGAAATAAGTCCCTTTGCCTTCCCTGTCCTGAAGTTTCTATTATCAATTTCTCACTTGAAAACAGCCTTTTGAGGGCAGAGTATATACCTAATAAGACGAATCAGAATCTTCACAGTAAGAAGAACTAGCTTAGATAATAACTGGTAAACAAGGCAGAGAAGCTCCTTTAGGGGCTTCTCTGCAGGGCAGCAAGATGTATTGACAAGTAACAAGGACAGTCATTTCTCTTAGTTCTAAATCATTTCACTGTGTGTTAATGTCAGATGTTTCTCGCAGAAGTAGGACAGGGCTCCCTAATACTTTATTTATTTTTCAAAGGAGGAAAGTGAGATTCAGAGAAGGGAAGTGACTGCCTGAAGTCACCAGAGAGTAGGTTGGGGAACCTAGATTCGAAAGCAGGTTTTAGAAGTCAGCATTGTACAAGGCATACCAGCTGTGAGATAAAACTTGATGGTCTAGTTTCTCAATGTGGCCCTCAGTGTGCCTGCTTTGCAATCAACTGAGGAGTTTCTTAAAGATCTAGACTTCTGGGCCCCACCCCACACCTACTGAAAGAAATCTCTTAGGCTGGAATTTAGGATTTGTATTTTTCAGAAGCTCTCCTAGTGATGTTTATGCACATTTAAGTTTGAGCAGAGATGCACAGAAAAAATGCTCTGGGCATCCAAAGCAGGGAGGAAATACATCTAAGAAGGCAGCATATGAGTTTGTCTCTGAAGGCCGGGTGAGATTTAGACACATGGAGAGGGGTGGGGAAGAGGGGCCCCATGTCAGACTTGTCTGATGGAGGATTCAAGCTTGGGGCTTTCACTGTCCCTCTTCATTGTTGTCATCATCATCATTCCCCACTTGATTATGTTTTCCATCTTCCTCTTCAGCCTCTTCCCAAAATCTCAACGGCTTTTTTGCAGGCTGAGCTAAATACAATTTTCTGTTCTCTGGTAGCAGGGAGGTGGATTAGCATGTAAAGGACACACATAACCACGGCTGACAAGTAGAGGGCACTCAGTCCCAGGGTCCCAGGAAGGGACAAAGATGGACAAACAAGAAGAGAACAGACACTAGAACAATGTCTGGCACATAGTATGTAGTCAATAAATGTTGACAGGGGGATGGGTTTGTGGATGAATGGATGGATGGATGGTTAAATTAGTCAATCCATCTCTATCTCTCAGATTGTGCAGCCTACTCAAAGACCCACCAAGGCTGTGATTATAAGCAAAAAAAAAAAAAAAAAAAAAAAAAAGAAAAAGAAAAGGACACAAAATCGAAAGACCGATGCAGAGCACATCATCATGGGCAGACATAAATGAGCTGGAAAGGGATACCAATAAACATGGATAGATAAGAAAGGCACTTAAAGACAGATGTAACAAGGTCACACACAAAGGTATAAGAAACAGCACTTACAGACATAAAAGGATGCAAAGGACACTTGCAGATGGATAGGTGAGGGGCGCAGGCAGGTAGGAATGGACTCCGGTGACTCCTTAGTACTGTAAAAGGGCCTGAGCCATAGCCAGCCCCTTTACCCCACTGAGCTGAGGAGAAGAGATTAACTCCAAGTACCGTCCCTGGCTGGCAGGACCTTGCCCATCTTTCTGTCTCACTGGTCGCTGCAGAGGGAGGACAGGCCCCAGGCTCCAGGGTTAAGTGTACTCTGGCTGTGCACCCTGGTCATGGCAAGAGACAGCGCTTCTTCCCTCTCACGTCACATTTATTTCAGTTCTCAGATGCATAGTATTAGGCCTGTGGCCTCGCTTCTTTCTGGCTTGCAGCCCAATTTCGTGCAGGTCCCTCGGGCCCTTGCTCTTTTTGGGGTGTTTTATTCTAATTCCCAGTCCCAGCCTACTCTGGAGCTTCAGTTCATTTACAGATCACTTTCCCTTTAAGCTATTTCTCCTGATCCGCCACCTTCCCAGATGCCCTCTCACTCCCAACATCACTTGCAGTTTCTAAGAGCACCACATCTCCCAGAAACCTTAGCGGCCAAGGAGCTACCCTAGGAAACTTCAAGTACCGAAATGCTCTCCTACCCGTCTGCGTGACCGATGGGGCTTGTAGTCTCCTTGGAATTGCCAGGCGAGCAAAAAAACTACTCATCCCAGGAGCCCCTGCGTCAGAGGCGGGTTTCCCTCCTGTCTTTCTGCGCTCCCCTTAATCCTTCCTCGAACTCCAACTCCCGCCGTGCCTTGCGCTGAGATCCCTGCGGCGAAGAATGGGGCTGTGCCCAAAGTCTTCTCTGGGAGTTGTAGTTTCTATGTTGGTGAGGCGAGGAGGAGGCGGAGTGACTCGGCGGCCATTAGCTGTGTGTAGTTGCCCGGGACTGGGAGCTTAAGTGAAGAGGGAAGCTTTATTCGGTGGAAATCAACCGCAGCAATGGGTTTCTGCCAGGGTTAGCCCTAGAGTACGGAACAGGCGGACTTTTCGGTGCCCCGCCCCGCCCAGTGGCGGGGCCTACTAGGCCTCCGGGCATCCCCGGTCTCAAGTAGGCCTCGTCTGCCGGCAAGGGCGCTCCAAAGGCGGGAGGCGCCATGTCGCTGGTTGCTTACGCCAGCAGCGATGAGAGTGAGCCGGATGAGGCTGAGCCCGAGCCAGAGGAAGAGAAGGCGGCGGCACCTACATCTGGGCCCACTTTAGGAGGCTTGTTCGCTTCTCTCCCTGCGCCCAAGGGTCCGGCCTTGCTGCCTCCGCCCCCTCAGATGCTGGCCCCAGCTTTTCCCCCGCCGCTGTTGCTGCCCCCACCCACCGGAGACCCCAGGCTTCAGCCTCCTCCCCCCTTGCCCTTCGGCCTGGGAGGCTTCCCCCCACCTCCGGGCGCGAGCCCAGCTGAAGCGGCGGGAGTTGGGGAGGGGCTGGGATTGGGGCTGCCCTCGCCCCGAGGCCCTGGCCTCAGTCTGCCCCCTCCAATTGGCGGTGCCGGGCCCCCCCTGGGGCTTCCCAAGCCAAAGAAGAGGAAAGAGCCCGTGAAGATTGCGGCGCCGGAGCTGCATAAGGGAGATGTGAGTATCGGGGAGGGCACCCTCAAGCTGTCCATCGGGTTTGAGCTCAGTAGGAGGGACTTGTGGAGATTACGGAACTCTTTCCTATAAATGCATCTCTGAAGTCACTGAAATCCTCTTACAGTGTGATTAATTGAGCTGAAGTTTGTCAACTTTGGGGAGATAGGGTGTTCGTCCATGTGGGTTTCTCGAAGCTGGGCTTGCCTGGAGAAGGGCCACATATCATCACCTACCTGGCATTGCCAGGCCCAGGTCCAGGCTTAAGGACACTTGCTTGGTTCTGCTCCCTCTTTGCATCTTCACCTCAGGCTGTTTTTTTCCCCTCTTCCATACTGAGAACAGGATGAAATCTGGCAGCTGAAGAAATGACAGGAGACAGGACTTCTGAGCTCTTGCTGAACATCCGGGACCAATCTTTTTCTTTGCCTCTGAACATAAATGCATCAGGCCGGGAGAAAAAGGATAGGAATCCTGGATTCTGATTTTGAGGGGAGTTCGAGAAGAAATTGATTATTTGTTGAGTGCGTATCATTTGCCAGGCGTTGGTCCTTCTTTCAGTTATTACAGAACTCTGGGACATAACATACTATATATATATATTTTTTAGATAAAGTCTCTGTTTGCCCTGGGTAGAGTGCAGTGGTGTCATCATAGCTCACTGCAACCTCAAACTCCTGGGTTTAAGTAATCCTCCTGCCTCAGCCACCCAGGGACTAGAGGCGCATGCTACCACACCCGACTAATTTTTCTATTTTTGGTAGAGACAGGTCTCATTCTTGCTCAGGCTGGTCTCAAATTCCTGGTCTCAAGTGATTCTCCTGCCTCGGCCTCCCAGAGTGTTAGGATTACTGGTGTGAACCACTGGGCCGGGCCAGCATACTACTTTTTACAGATGAGAAACAGGTGTCCATCATATACGATCTTCCTGGGTAAAGGGCAGGGTGAAGATTAAGAGCTAAATCCGTCTAAACCTCAGACCTATGCCTCAATTTCACCATGTAGGTATTGTCAAACCTAGGTGAATTAGGATGCTTGGGGATTATTTCTAGAAGAAGCAACCAAACTTATGCTGTTTCTATATGTTGGAGCAGAAAAATACCACAAAGCCTCTTCTGGAGTGAAGGTTTTGGGTATAAACTTGACATTTAGCCTGGGGCAGGGAGTGTTTGCATTACCTGGGAGTTCTTTCCTTTCTCACCTCTGAGAAGTTAATTGGTCAGTCCCTGGGGCTCACCTTTGCCACCCTTAGAGAAGTTTATTTCCCTTACTGGGGCCTTTGCATTTGGTGATCCCTAAGTTTCTTCCCCCAGATATCCTAATGTTCTCTCCCTCACTTCATTCAAGTCTTGGCCTAAAGAGCTTGCTCTCAGTGAGGACTTCCCTATTTAAATTGCAACCTCCAATTGCTTACTACTCCCCATTCCCCTTCTTGGTTTTTTTTTTCTCCATAGCACTTACTAACATACTATATATTTTATTTGCCTCTCTCCTTCCACTAGTATACAAACTCCATGAAGGCAGGGTATTGGTGGTTCCCCAGCCCCTCCTATATCCCTAGTGGCTAAAACAATGATTGGCACATACTGAGTACCATAAATATTTTCAGAGAGAATGAACTATGGATTGAGTAAAATGAATATGGATTCTTTATGGAAAGAGGCTCCAGAATTTCCCTCCCTATCCAAGAATTTGTTCCAAATTTTCTTCTTTATCATTTCCCCCTTCTTTCACACCGGAGTCTGTCACTTGTAAGTTCAGGTTGAAGAATAAAGCCTTTTATTGCTCCACAGAAACTCTTGGCCTTGATTTAACTTGGGACAAGGAAAGGTCCCTGACAGACAGTAGAAAGGCTCAATTCTAGCTCTGCGGAGGTTGCATTAGAAAAAGTTGCTGGTAGAGGCTGGTAATCTTACATTTAGGATGACTGACTCTGGCAGAAAACTCTGAAGATTCCTAACTCTATCCCTGTGTTTTTTTTTTTTTTTTTGAACAGAGTCACACTTTGTTGCCCAGGCTAGAGTGAGTGCCGTGGCATCAGCCTAGCTCACAGCAACCTCAATCTCCTGGGCTTAAACGATCCTGCTGCCTCAGCCTCCCGAGTAGCTGGGACTACAGGCATGTGCCACCATGCCCAGCTAATTTTTTGTATATATATTTTTAGTTGGTCAATTAATTTTTCTTCTTTTTTAAAAAATATATAAATTTTATTCTTTTATTTTACTTTTGCTTTCTTTTTTTTTTTTTGAGACACAGTCTCACTTTGTTGCCCAGACTAGAGTGAATGCCGTGGCGTCAGCCTAGCTCACAGCAACCTCAAATTCCTGGGCTCAAGTGATCCTGCTGCCTCAGCCTCCCAAGTGGCTGGGACTACAGGCATGTGCCACCATGGCTGGCTAATTTTTTCTATATATATTAGTCGGCCAATTAATTTGTTTCTATTTTTAGTAGAGACAGGGTCTCACTCTTGCTCAGGCTGGTTTCGAACTCCTGACCTTGAGCAATCTGCCTGCCTCGGCCTCCCAGAGTGCTAGGATTACAGGTGTGAGCCACTGCGCCCAGCCTACTTTTTTTTTCCTTAACATTATACCCTGGATATGCTAAGAAATTTCTTTCTATTTATAGTAGAGATCGGGTCTCACTCTTGCTCAGGCTGGTTTCGAACTCCTGACCTCGAGCGTTCCTCCCGCCTCGGCCTCCCAGAGTGCTAGGATTATAGGCATGAGCCACCGGGCCCGGCCTCTATCCCTTTTTAGTAAGTATAACTCACTAAATTTCTGAGTTGAACACTGACATGGCTAATAAAGTAAGATTCTAGCCCTTAACTGGTTTGGTTTCCCATTTTTATTCTGTTCCAGTTGATATTTTTGTTCTTCTGAACACATAATTTCTAGAGAAGGTAGCCTGAGAATGTTCAAGATGGTCAGGTGGGGCCGGGCGTGGTGGCTTACGCCTGTAATCCTAGCACTTTGGGAGGCCGAGGCGGGCGGATTGCTCGAGGTTGGGAGTTCGAACCAGCCTGAGCGAGACCCGTCTCTACTAAAAATAGAAAGAAATTAATTGACCAACTAAAAATATATATACAAAAAATTAGCCGGGCATGGTAGTGCATGCCAGTAGTCCCAGCTACTTGGGAGGCTGAGGCAGGAGGATCGCTTGAGCCCAGGAGTTTGAGGTTGCTGTGAGCTAGGCTGACACCATGACACTCACTCTACCTGGGTAACAAAGTGAAGACTCTGCCTCAAAAAAGATGGTCATGTGGGCCGGGCGCAGTGGCTCATGGCTGTAATCCTAGAGCTCTGGGAGGCCGAGGTGGGAGGATCACTCAAGGTCAGGAGTTCGAAACCAGCCTGAGTAAGAGCGAGACCCCATCTCTACTAAAAATAGAAAAATTAATTGGCCAACTAAAAATATATAGAAAAAATTAGCCAGGTGTGGTGGCGCATGTCTGTAGTCTTAGCTACTTTGGAGGCTGAGGCAGAAGGCTTGCTTGAGCCCAGGAGTTGGAGTTTGTTGTGAGCTAGGCTGACACCATGGCACTCTAGCCCAGGTAACAGAGTAAGACTCTGCCTCAAAAAAAAAAAAGATGGTCAAGTGAGGGTGACCTTCATCTTTAAAGTCTGTGCCCCCTCTAGTTCTAAGCCTTGCTGGTTCTAAGCCTTGCTGGTTCTAAGCTCCAGGTCTTGCATTTAGTACATGTTTGAAGGAATGGATTAGTTCTTAAATAATTTCCTTTTAGAGTTTGGTACTGAAGTATAAATAATTAACTCCAAACTCTTTTTCATTCATTCATTTATAAAACTATATTGAGCTGCTGCTTTTGCCTGGAGCTAAGAGTTCAGTAGTGAACATGATAGACCCTACCCAAGAGGAGCTTATGGGTCTACCAGAGGTCACAGATGAGGAAATAGATTTTAGGTCAAGTCAGAGAAAAACCATGATAGAGTTGGTGCCATGGGAGAACACCTAGCAGATACCAACCCAATCTTGGGAGGCTTCTAGGAGGGAGAGATGTCTAAACAGAGATAAAATAGATGAGTAGGAGGGAGTAAGATAAAGGGGGGTAGAGTGGGGAGGAGCATATCAGGCAGAGGAATGTATAAAAGCCTGGAGGTGAGCGAGAAGGAAAGTGCTTTGGGGGAACCTTAAGTGAGTAAGGCACAGTGGCTGGAGCACATTGTTAAGGGTGAACGATGGGACCAGGGAGAGGCTGAGACCAGATGATAATCTGCCTTGGATGCCATGTTAAGGTCTTTCTACTTCATTCTGGGGTAGTAAAGAGCCCTTAAGGGCTGGGCAGAAATTCTCAGTGTGGTCAGAGATCTGGAGGGAGCAAGACTGGCTAGAGACAGTACGAGAGAGACTGGTAGTCTGAAAGAGGGAATAAATAGGGGATGGAGAGAACTGGAGGATAAAGGATAATTAGTAGGTAGAAGTGATAAGATTTACAGCCTGTGGCTGCCTAGCACATTTATCTGGCCCACCACTGCCTGTCCTGCTTAGCAGCCAACTCGTCCCAGGCCCACAGTGCGCACTCTCCAATGGTCTGAGGGACAGTGAATTGGCCCCCTGTTTAAAAAGTTCAAAGACCCCTGGACTAGAAGATTGATTGGATGTCACCAGTGAAGGAGAAGATTAAAGGTTGACCCTGTGCCTTTTGCCTTGGGCACCTGGGAGGGTAGTGGTGCACAGAGCGGATTGGGGATTAGTTAGATTTCGTTGGTTGCAAGTGTCAGACACCAGTTTAAGCTAGTTTAAGTGGTAATGCGTGGTAAATATACTGTAGTACCTCAGAAAGGGCCCAGCATTAGGAACTGGAGATTGGTTGGAGACCTACACAGCTGCTCTTTGCACATTTGGTTGTAGAGAAAGATGACCACCCACACCTTCTTGGTTTTTGTATCCTCCCTTTTAGAGATGAGTTCAGATTAAACTACAATCTTAGTCCCAGTGTTGGCTTTCCAGTAGAGAACATTTGGTTGGTTTGATTGGAGTCAGATCAT